AATTTGTCACTCCAACCCATTCATCAACCAACTTTTCAAATTTTATATTTCACGTTAAAATATTAACATCTTAACTTTATCTTAATCTTATCTTGTGGGCTCAACTTTCACTAGTAGTATGGGGAAGGAGTGGACTCTAGAAGTACTACTAATTGAGTTTAGGAACTGAACCATATCACTTTTTTATAGAACGTTTGGCAAAGTGTATTTTGTTTTCAAACTCCTTACCAAGCAATATTTTTGAATAAAATATATTACAGGACCAATTTGCTTACTTGAAGAAGTAGCAACTGACCTATCAACGAAAACACTTACATGAATTTTCAAGACCTTACGGTGTGGTGAAGGTGAAAGCATATAGATCTTATGACGATTTGTGCACTATTTTGCAAAACCGCTTAATAACCATGATAGTTAGCCCACGTTTTCTGAGAGAGAAATAGACAATTTTTTTAATTATTATTTTGAGAATTATTTTCCGTCACGATTAATAATAACTTTATAAGACATTTGAAAACGGTTTCACCATTTATCGAACCACAAATGTATTTTTAATATAATATTAGATCGAAAACTGAAAAATAAATGTGCAAAAATTAGTAGCAAGACCTAAAACATTGCCGAAACGGAAGTCCATTTACAAGAATATCAACAAAAAATATTATATGAATTTTCAAAACCTCACAGTGCAGTGAGGGTGAAAGCATATAGATTTTGTACTATTTTGCAAAATTGCCTATAAACCATGCCACGTTTTATGAGAAAAAAAATTAAAATTTTTTATTTTTGCAAATTAATTTTCATCATGACTAAGAATAACTTTATAAGGCATTTGAAAGTAGGTTGCCGTTTATTGAGTTATAAATATATTTTCAATAGAATAATTAGACCAAAAACTGAAAAATAAATAGAAAAACAATGTAGCGGGGCCGAAACATTGCCGAAACGTATGCGTCAATATAAATAAGGTAGGGGATGTTGGAAATTTTCGGTCACATCCCGACCGGGCCCCCACCACATCCCGGGCTCGACTCCGCCATAGCACGATATTGTCCGCTTTGGGCCTCGACCTCGCCCTCACAGTTTGTTTTTTGGAAACTCACACGAGAACTTCCCAGCGGGTCACCCATCATAGGATTGTTCTCGCACGAACTCACTTAACTTCGGAGTTCCGATGGAACCCGAAGTCAGTGAGCTCCCAAAAAGCCTCGTACTAGGTAGAGATGAGAATATACATATAAGGCTTACATGATCCTCACCCTTGGGTGATGTGGAATGTTATATTTTCAAATATATTAGAAACATTGTTTGGAATGGTTGTGTTTTAGTGAGCAGTTGTGAGTGAAAAAGGTATATCCATCACCGAATGGGTGTATATGATTCTTAAAGGTTGCAATTGGAGGGTTACAACTGTTGATGAAACATCATCTAGAGTTCTATAAATACAACACGAATTCAACAATCACTAGACATCTTTACTTCTTTCATTCTTGTCTCTAAATTTCAGATTATTTAATAAGTTGTGCAAATCTTAAGAAATAATATCAAGTGAGTTTGAGTCCATAGTATCCTGGAGACAATTTGTTTACAACTCTTTTTGTACTAAGAAAGAGCAACAAATTAGTCTTAAAAAAATACAAATTCAATTCGTGCTTTGGCTCAACGTTCTCATTTTTCTTCTTTGCTACCGCCATCATTAAATTCATATTATTTTTTCTAACAGGGGATCATGCATGCTTCAGTGTATTAAAAAACTTGGACATGCAATGACCAACAGAAACTCGAGTGGATAATTTTGAATTCCTCAGTTCAATTTCTTTGTGGTATGTGGCCTGCAAAATTGTTAAGTAGAATACTGATAAACAGAACTCTAAACGATCACATGAATCCTGAATGTTCAATTAAAAACATTAATTGAGAAAATACGAAGTCCATTCCTGAAGATGCCGATCGAACCCTCTCAGTCAATTTTTTCTTTAACCTGCAAAACCCCGCAATATTGAAAACTACAGAATATAAGCAAAGCATATAATGACATACTACAACATTGAACTTTGATAGAAAAAATCAAACGAATTAAAACATTGACATTGGTTTTGTCAACAAAAATTGAGAAAACTCTTCCGTTTTACTCTGTATCACGTGGCTTATTGCATTTTTACGATATTGTCCTCATTATGTATTCTTTGTTTTTTCTAGTAGTTATAAATAAAGGCCATTTTGGAGTTTATTTGAATGTTTAACCATAAGGGCTTCTCCCTTAATAATATAGATAAAATAATAATTTTATTTATCTAAAATATTAAAACATTCTTCCACACTTTTCTCCCACTTCTGTCTCTCTTAGATTTTTCACTCACATATGTGCATGCATAGAGCTTGTAGTACATGCATAGCATGTGTGCGATTGCTAGTACACTTGAGGTAGTGTGTATTATTTGTACCCTATCAAGTGATCCGTGCGTGCTGAATTTTTTTCACGTTTAAATAGGTGATCACCGGTGCATGCATAAGTGATCACCGTTGTACACCGGAGGTGATCATCAATGTCCGGCCATCACCAAGCCAAAATAAGATCTGTACATGCAGTAGAATATATAAGATTTAGAAACTTACAACGAAGAAAATGTTTACTAGTCCTTTTCCTTCTTTAGAGTCAATACATTCCCTTCAAAGCAAAAGTTCAGAATCTAATTGCATTAGTGAGCTAAAAGTATATATAGAAGAGAACAAAACAGGTATGAAAACTCCCTATCAATCTCTTTTTCCAGTGGCCAAAACTCTATCAAATTATGTACTTTATCTTCAAATGGATAGAGGTTAAATGAAAAATGACAATAACTGTAAAGCTTTTTCTTATTCTCTAACTTTATTCAAGGAAAGCTAACTAATTCTTCTACAATATTTTTTTGGCAACTATTGTATAGGAGTAGGAAACTTCTGATTTTTCTTAGAGTTTGTTTATTTAACACGAAAATGATTTTTGTAGAGAAGTTTTGGAGAACTAAAACTAGGAGTTTCTCTATGAAGATTTCCCCACATAACATAACATTCTCTTTTCTATATTTATTTAAAAAAATTTAAAATGGAAATATCTTTTATGTCCGCAAAAGGTCATCATTTCGCTTATGTTTTTGTTGAGAGTATAAATGCTTAAAAAAATATTGGGCCTCAATCTTTACTATTACCAATTAGTTTTACGTTTGATGTTCAACCAAAAGAATAAAAAAGAGAAATATATATCAACGTAAGAGGAAACTCTAACCGAAAGATCCATGAAATAATTAATTTTATTTAAGAGACACCATTTTATGACCTAGTCCGTACCATATTTGAATAATGTGTGAAGCAACACCTATATCTACTTATTAGGTTCGTGTCAAAGATCATTTTTGCATGAAAATCACTCTAGCTAATTCACCAAACGACATTTGTGTTATGATAGCGCGGTCGGTATACTGAACCAGCATTTCTAGTTATATTTCTCTTGAACAACATTAATAATAGGGAAAACTAAAGAAAATAGCTTGAAAATTTTGAATTTTAACGAAAATGACAAAATAAAGGGTAAAGTGAATAGTATCAGGATTGATTTTTTAGTGTAAAAATGTGATTTTTCATTAAAGTGAATAGTACCAGGAGCTTTTCGTTAAAATTCCCATAATAATAAGGATGATGAAGGTAATGTTGATTGTTTATCATGTTATTTTTGTAAGAGGTAATTGAAAAACAACAAGTTACTAGGATCACAGATAAAACATAAATAATGACAATAAACCAATCAAACAATTAAGGGAAATAAACTTATCTTCCAAAGCAGAGGAAGAAGACGCCATGACTGCTAGGGTTTCAAAGGGTAGTCTTCTACTTCCAGTACTTCAATAATATCTTTCTGCTATATGAATAGGGTTTAGCGTATCTGAGAGATTAAGCGTATGGAAGCAAGGACTTAACCATAATATTTATATCATTAGGGTTTAATCACAGCCATCCTATTATTGGTTGTGAAAGTCAAACCCTATCACTTAAGTGTTTAAGTCCCACCATGATACTATATCTTTGTAGTGAAATCCATCAGATTTCTTTAGGTCAATTGCAAAGGATAAGACTCCATAATCATTATTTCATTAGGACTATCAGATTATTAAGTTGTTAACAACTCGATAAACAAGTGGCCTATAACATAAGTAATCCAATACATCATTCATTGTCATTCACAACCTTACAATTTTGCTACTCGTTCATAATGAGTGGACTGCCCTACTAACTCAAGTAGCTTACATCATGCTTAAAGTGATTTCACAACACCATATAATTGTGAACATATTTCAAACATCATGCCTCACTTGAACCTAGACTTCACCAATCAATCATTTTAATACCTTACTTAGTTGAAAACCTATGCTAACAGACTCGACTTCATTGTTTATCATGTTATGACAATGATCTAGTCATCAAGATTAATGGTAATTGTTTCAGCTGTTGAACCAACCGTTTGAGTTATGATGGTGTGCATGTTCTATTGTAAAAATAAACCTCTTTTGACATATTATCCAATTTGCAATTTGATCAAATAATTAGGACATGTCACCAATCAAACAATCAACCGAATAACTTACACTTTTTAATAATGAGATTAATGATATACACGCTTTGAAATTATAGAAACAAAGCAATGAAGAGAAAATTGTCTCATAAAATTTGACCCAATCGAAATACATGTAGGGAATCCTTAAGCTTAATTTGTTGCGCACCGTAAAAAAGTGAGGTGAGATACATGCAAGAGCTTCTCTGACCTAATAGACAAAGTGTGGGTCCCGCTTCAGATTCGGTGCCACGATGGACCATTCAGGTCGCGACAGCTCACCTCGAGTTCAGAACTTCAGATCCAAGCGCGCGCACAGTAATGAACCCAAAAATATCAGAGGAAAATAGGGCGAGGTTGATGGCACAACCGTAATACCCCACCAAACCCAGGACATTTCCGTAATCTAATGACCTCAACATTGGTGCGGGGTCTTGCTCTCAGGCACCCACTATTTAAACCCATTGGGATCGGTCTGGATCATTCTCTCACCCTCTGGAATTTCTTCAAGCAGCTTGCGTTCGTTGGAATCTCTTTTTCTCTAGCTAGAAATCTCGTGGGAGTTCATCAGGTATCGCATTGGCAGATTCCTCCGTTGATTTTCTGCTACTGAATCTAATTTTTTCGAATTTTTGTTTGTATTTTGGTTAAATTTTGATTGTTTGGTGGATTAAAGTTTGAATCTTTTGATATGCACATTGGATTTCAGAATTCAAATTTCCGGTTAATTACTGTTTTCGATGCTTTCGGCGGGAGATGATTACTTCAATTTCATTTTTTGCATGAAAAGCTTTGTGTTTGTGTGTGTTGGAAGTGTGAAATGTGGAAATGCAATGATTAGGGATTAAAGATTGATTTTTTTTTAGCTAGTTTTGTTGCTGTCATTATGATTTCATGCAATCGAATCCGCTTTTTCGATGCCATTGTGGTCCAGAATCCGTTGGTTTCGTGATTATTATTGTTTTGAAGATGAATGGTGCACGGAACCAAAAAGGAGTGTGTAGTCGGCACGATTGTGGTATTGTATTCGTATTCTTGTTATTTGCTTTGAGGTTTGATCAGTAATTGTTAGCTTATCTTATAGCTTTTTAAAGTGTCAGCTACTATGTAGTTGTGATTATATATGCACAATATACGACATTGATCCAATATTATTTAGTTCATAAGTATCTTATTTGTTTGGTGGTTGTAGTGTGTTAAAATTTACAACTTTACTGCATTTTATTATCATCGTCTTAAAGTTTACAACTTTACTTAATATTGCTATTAATCTAGAATGGATGCATTGTATAAACGGTTTAATTTGATACTCCGGGGAGATATAATTTCAGTTCAGAGTACTTAACCCTATACAAGAAAAATAATAGATCCGCTCTGTCGAAATAACTTACCAGCTACCTGTACCTGAATTTAACCCAAGCTTGGCTTAATCAATTTAAGTTTTAGTGCCAGAGTAGGGTTGAATGCTGCTTTGGACTAAGGATCTGATCGAAGTGCAGATATTAATAAGTTAAAGCTATATGTTTTTGATGTTTTATACGATCATGGACTTGGTTCAATCTTTTTATTTCATGACCTTGTAAACCTTTTCCTTTCTTTGTTGTATGTAGGTCTATGAACATGGGCTCAAATTCAGTTGTGGATATGATAGAGGCCTCCTCAGGGGTTCATTTTTCTGGATTTCACATGGATGGCTTAGAGCAAAGACAGAAGGTGGAGCTACCGACAACATCAGCACATGAAAACATGCATAAACAGCCCTTTGTTATTGGTAAGTATAAATTTATGGTTTGGTTTTCGTTGTTGTTCCTAAGCAGGCATGGTAGCTACTTTCTTTAATTCTGCTTTCAAATGATCCATAATTTCATACATATTGTCACAGGTGTTGCTGGTGGGGCAGCTTCTGGTAAGACTACAGTTTGTGATATGATTATACAGCAGCTTCATGATCAGCGTGTTGTTCTTGTTAACCAGGTAATATTTCCTTGTTCAAGTGTAGAATTTTGTGATCCATTAGGCTAGTTGTTACTAATTTTTGCATGTTTTTTATTTTTTATTATTTGGTTCTCCTGTATTTCATGTCCGAGAATTTACCACTTTTCCAAGTTAGTATCTTATATATCATCGATGATATTATTACAGGATTCCTTTTATCATAATCTGACCGAGGAGGAACTTAACTGTGTACATGAATACAACTTTGACCATCCTGGTGAGGGCAATATTGCAACTTCAAAATTAAGGGAGTGTAAAATTGTACATAATCAAATATGTATATTAAATATCATGATTTTTAAATGAAACATGTGCAATGTTCAATCTATCAAAGAATTCCATGTTGCTACAGTTTGAGACACCTAAAATGGCAACCAGACAGTAGTAATGTTGTGCTCTTAGTTTTCTGCATAACTCAACAATTTGGTTTTCTGTAGTTTTTCTTTAGTGCTTTGTACATGGTTGGATTATAGAAATTTAAAATTAGATTGTGACCTTTATTATATTCAGTTCTTCCTAACTATTTATTCCAAGTACTTTATCACGCGTGCTGGCTGGCTCAGTTTTATGCTGGCTGTCTTCAAATTTTAATTCATATTTTTTGGGTATCATCAGATGCATTTGACACTGAGAAACTATTATCTTCTATGGACAAGTTGAAGCATGGGCAAGCAGTAGATATTCCAAACTATGATTTCAGAAGTTACAAAAACAGCGTGTTTCCTGCTAGACGGGTAGGTTTTGAAATCTGCTGCATCTATTAGACATATTGTCCAACATCTAGTTACCTGTTGTTTTGAGGTCTTATTCTTGCGAAGGGATAGTTTTTGGAATTATGTCAAAACACATATGCACACATTCTTGTTTTCATGTATCTTGTGTAATTCTCTTGTATGCACTGAAATTCTTATCTTATCTTATTAACCTTAACAGGTAAATCCTTCAGATGTCATCATCTTGGAAGGCATTCTTGCTTTCCATGATCCTCGTGTCCGAGAGTTGATGAATATGAAGATTTTTGTTGATACAGGTCATTTTTCTTTTTACCTACTTTTTCCTTGGGAATTGATAATTTTTCTTTGCCTTCCGATGATATAGTGCACTGTTATAGCTTATGTCACCAAAAACAACTCTCATTGTGTGAAAAGTTTTTTTTTGTTTCAAGTTCGGTATATTCATCTAATTTATACGATTTGGCTTTCACATTAAATTTTTTAACTTGATTGCATGGTTGTATTGCTTTTCATTTAAAATCTTCTCATCGTATGTTGAAATCAGTTCTTTGTAATAGTTATAGTTTATGTTTTAGGCTACCGTCATAAGTGGAATGGTATATGTCACGTCATGTTGTTACTAAATTAGGCCACTTCACATTGTAAAGTTTTCAGTGCAGATGCTGATGTTCGGTTGGCTAGGAGGATAAGGCGTGATACGGTTGAGAAGGGAAGGGATATTGGTCAAGTTCTTGATCAGGTTTGCAACTTTCCATTTCATTTCTGTTAGACTTCATGTTGGTTTTTGTACATATAGGTTTTCTTTCATGCTGTGAATTCACAAAAGAGTGTACATGACAATTTTTTCTCAGTGACAATAATTTTGAGAATTCTCTTCTCATAGAGTGTTAGTACTCGGTACTTGTAGAAAAGAATTCAAGATAAATGGTGTACTCTTGAATAAACTGGATAATTTTTTCTACCCTATTGTACTCAAATCATTCTTTGAACTATTTTACTCAGGGTGTTAAAGGGTTTCTTCTTTCATCCCTATTTCCTCTCCTTAACTTTGTTGCCCATGATCACGTGATTTAGGCAACCAATTTAATGCTTACAACCTACTTCTTTTATGGTGCCTTTCTCTGATGGTGCTTATCATTTTATGCAGTACTCAAATTTTGTTAAGCCGGCTTTTGATGACTTTATTCTTCCAACAAAGAAGTATGCTGATATCATTATTCCTCGTGGCGGAGATAATCACATAGCTGTTGATTTGATTGTACAACATATTCGTACTAAGCTTGGTCAACATGACCTTTGTAAAATTTATCCCAATTTGTATGTCATACACTCAACCTTTCAGGTACCCTTCCTAGATATTTATATTCTTTGTATATTTAATTTTTTTTTTTTTTTGGCTCACCAATTATTGTTGCTGGATGCATGCAGATACGGGGTATGCATACCCTCATACGTGATTCTCAAACAACAAAGCATGATTTTATTTTCTATTCAGACCGGTTGATTCGTTTGGTGGGTATTTGATTCTTCAAGTCAAGGGGATGATTTGATGGGTTTTAAGATCATTAGTGAAATAGGGCCAATTATTATCTGTTTAAACCACTCATCATAATTGCTGAATCTTGAATAGGTTGTTGAACATGGCCTGGGACATCTACCATTTACCGAAAAGCAGGTGATCACTCCAACTGGTAAGATGATGTTTATTTGCCCAAATTATCATATATAATGTTTCCCCATATTTTATTTTGGTTAATCCTTTGTTTTCTCTGGTCTGGATGCAGGTTCTGTGTATATTGGTGTGGATTTTTGTAAGAGGTTATGCGGTGTGTCTATCATCAGGAGGTACAGATCTGCTCCTTTAAGGCATTTGGTTTTTCTGGATAGAAAAAATATATTCTCCTATGATTCTTTCTAGTTTGGCTTTCTTTGCACATGAACAAACGCTTTCTCTCAAATGCATTCTTGTGAAAACAAATGATGATTATAATTTATAAGTAGAGATATTAAGTAGATCTGAATCGAAACCCAACCTCGTCTTTGTGAACCATATGGTCTTGTAACCATCAAGTACAATGTTGTATCTCCTGTTGGGTTTGATTTTATTTAAAAAAAAAATGAATTGCTGTACGTTTTAATGGTGTGATTAACATTCTTCTATTACCAGTGGCGAGAGCATGGAGAATGCTTTGCGAGCATGTTGTAAAGGTATCAAGATTGGAAAGATTCTTATTCACAGAGAAGGAGACAATGGTCAGCAGGTTCACACCTCTTTCTCTCTCCTCACTCCCACCCCTCGTGTTGGTCCTACTGCATGCATTTTCATGCCTGCATTTCTGTTACCCCCAAATGTTTTTCTTATTGATTTATTGTCTGTACAGCTAATTTATGAAAAACTACCCAACGACATTTCAGAGAGGCATGTATTACTGTTGGATCCTATCCTAGGCACAGGTTCGTTTTGTCTGATAATATATAGTTAGTGTTTGGACTTGCCGATGCTTCAGAATCAAGTACGCTAACAAAGAAAAGAAATGACTGTCAAAAGTGGTTCTTTTTAAAATTGTATTGAATTATTGGCTATTATAAAACTACATACCGTTGTCTTCAGGGAACTCGGCTGCTCAAGCTATTTCTCTAATTTTAGAGAAGGGCGTGCCAGAGTCCAACATTATATTTCTCAACCTCATATCTGTAAGTTAACGTCTCTCTCACTCACGTGCTTCAGGTTCCTCTGACTATTAGTTTGATTTTGGTCTACCCTCTGTCACTGTAAATTTGTAATGATGTTGCACATCAATTGGCCAGGCACCTCAAGGTGTGCACATGGTCTGCAAACGCTTCCCCAGAATAAAGATTGTGACCTCTGAGATTGAAAGTGGTCTGAACGAAGATTTTCGTGTTGTACCTGGCATGGGTGAGTTTGGGGACCGATATTTTGGAACTGATGATGATGATCAAGTGGTAGGTCCTTCATCAGTGTAGTTCCAATAAAAACTGCTAGTTGGTCCAACCCCTTTGATCAACTCGAGTTATTTCGGCAACGATGGAAATCAGCTCAACTTGGCTTGCCTAGTACTGTGCTGGGTTCTACATTCCAGTGTTGAAAAAGTTTTGACTTCATGAAACCGAATTATCATCCTTCGAATCTTTGATAATTTTATTTTCGAACTATTTGGCATATAGTGTTTTTCTTTCTCAGCTGATGCTCTTCTATAAATTGACGATACTGTTGAAGGGGTTGGACCGCTAGTTGTCGTGGCAGTCAGTGAATGTGTGCCTAGATATTCAAGTTCCCTTTTGAAGTTTACTTTGCATTTGTATGGCTTAAAGGGGAAGCGATTTAAGGGCAAATGAATGGCCCTCCCCATGATATGTATTATGAACCAGGACATTTACCGACAGTGATAATATATTTTTCGTTGCTTCACAATTTTCTTCTTGTCGTTCCTCATTTTCGTAAGCTCTTGCATACAGTGAGGGTATACCGCGCTCAAAATAACCAGTCACGCGATGAGAATTGTAAAGGTTGGATGTGAGGGAGATGCGGTATACACTCATTTATGTGATTAGTTGTTGGACAAAATTTCATTTCAACTACTGATTTTGAGCGGTTATCAGCTGTTAGTGCATGTAAAATCAATCAAGATGCATAGATTGTCGCTGACAATCGGGTGATTGTCCTTCGCATTCCATCTATTAATAGTGAACTGAAAACAGAAAACCGAAATGGATGAGTCACACATGGTTGGTTAGGAGATCCAAAATTTTCCTTTGGTTTGTGTCTCTCTTCAACTTCTGAGTAATTTGGATGAGGATCGTTGGCCCTTCCACACAAACTTTTACCTGAGGATATGACTTGCCACTTGGCAAGGAGAGTGATCACTAGTTGCTCTATCCTAGGTTGATAACTTTCCTTAGGCTAACCTTTTGACACGTGTCAGTGAACGCCCTGGTGGATTTCTGATGGCATATTCCGCCGGAGCTTTGTCTATTTAGGTTGTTGGGTGTGTAAATTAGATTTTGCACTTTCATCCAGTGTTATCTGATACCTATCCTAAATCCTCAACCATGTCAGCCTTTGTTGGCAAGTATGCTGGTACTCTCTGTCTCTCTCCCCCTCCCTCTCTTTCTCTCACTAACGAACTTGTTTAGGACGCTTTTGAAAGAAGCGCTTTTGGGTCTTAAAATACTTTATGAATAAACACTTTCTAATGCTTTTTTTCAGAAGTACTTACATTTTTTTTTACATGTCTATAAGCCCCACTTAATGGGAAAAGGCGTCGTTGTTGTTGTTTGTTTATAATATAAGCACTTTTTAATAAAACGTTTGTAAGCATAAGTAGTTCTTACGAAAGCAGTTTCAAGTGAGGGAGTCTAATGGACATGAGTCATGACACTGGTGGAAATCATTTGGGTCTTTGACTAAGAAAAATAAGCACTTTTCCAATAAAATGCTTGTGAGCACAAGTACTTCTGAGACATAACCAGTTTCGAATAAGCAAGTCTTGTGGACGTGAGTCCTGATAAACAATGCGTTGGAAACAATTTTGGTCATTCACCATGAAATTTTCGAAAAACCAAACAATTTCCTTCAGAGAACATGTAAGTATATATATAACTCATTGCAGTCATCCTTTAACCTGTAAAAAGTTCGAATTATACTCAACCCCTCTTGGTTTTGTGCAGAGGAGCTTATAAAGAATGCCAAGTACATTGCCACCCCAGGCAAGGGCATATTGGCAGCAGATGAGAGCACAGGCACCATCGGCAAGCGTCTATCCAGCATCAACGTTGAGAACATCGAGTCCAACCGCCAAGCTCTCCGAGAACTTCTTTTCACTTCTCCCAACGCCCTCCCTTACCTCTCCGGTGTCATCCTCTTCGAGGAGACCTTGTACCAGAAGAGCTCTGATGGCAAACCCTTCGTCAAAATCCTCCAGGAAAACAACGTCATTCCAGGCATGGTCTAAAATTTCGATAAATAGATACAAATTTTTTTTCGACATCTGTTTTTTGACACACCACTTAAGTTTCCATATTTTGGTATTTTCATTAACATCAACGTTTACCACTTTGATTCAGGGATCAAGGTTGACAAGGGCACCGTTGGGTTAGCTGGAACAAATGGAGAAACAACAACCCAAGGCTTTGACTCTCTGGGAGCCAGGTGCGCACAGTACTACAAGGCAGGCGCGCGCTTTGCCAAGTGGCGTGCCGTGCTCAAGATAGGCCTCACCGAGCCCTCGGAACTGTCCATCCAGCAGAATGCGCAGGGCTTGGCTCGCTATGCGATCATCTGCCAGGAGAACGGACTGGTACCAATCGTTGAGCCTGAAATTTTGACTGATGGAGATCACGACATTAAGAAATGTGCAGCTGCTACTGAAAAGGTTCTTGCAGCAGTTTACAAGGCACTCAACGAGCAACATGTTCTTCTTGAAGGCACACTCCTTAAGCCCAACATGGTTACTCCAGGCTCAGACAGCCCAAAGGTAAAAAAAGAAAATAATTGATTATTGCCTCTCTTGCGCTCTCTCTCACAAAGAAATTCTTACATACAATCATTGTATATATGTCTCGATTATGTATAATGTCTCTCGCAAAGAACTTCTTCCTTATAACCGTTGTATATATAACTGTCCTAAAATTGGTAATATGACTGACATGAAAGATGTGGAATGTAACAGTTTAATGTTTGTACAGAATCAACCCAAATTACTATATGTTAGGTTTAGAATTCACCATGGACTGTTATATTGAATATTGTAGGAATCGTGATTTAGATGGTTTTGTAATACTATATATGACAATTGGTGTATCGCATACATGTTATAGTTATTACTGAAGTAAGATAAAGGTTGTATTTGTAACAAAAAAGTTCATTTCTCATACAGCTAGCGGAGCTCGTGCAAGTTGGTCGCACCATATAAAAGTAGTTTCATGTAGACGTATTGAGAGAGGAAGATTATATATGACCGACACATACAACATTGTCAACATAGTTATTCTTCATACTGAAGGGGCTTCAATATTTGCACAGGTTACGCCAGAGGTGATTGCTGAGTACACAGTGACTGCACTGCGCCGGACAGTCCCAGCAGCTGTGCCTGGGATTGTGTTTCTGTCCGGTGGACAAAGTGAGGAACAGGCAACACTCAACTTGGATGCAATGAACAGGTTGGATGTGTTGAAGCCATGGAATCTTTCATTCTCGTTCGGGCGAGCTTTGCAAGCAAGCACACTCAAGACTTGGGGTGGGAAGAAGGAGAATGTTGCAAAAGCTCAGGAGACGTTCTTGACAAGGTGCAAGGCAAACTCAGATGCCACACTTGGAAAGTACTCTGGAGGAAGTGCTGGTGGATTGGCTTCTGAGAGTTTGTTTGTCAAGGGATACAAGTACTAGGCCTTTAACTGGATGGGGTTTTTGGGGAATATATGGTTATCATATGTATAATTGCATGAAGCAACGTAAACTTGTATTTGATTTTGGTCCATGACTCCTGGTAGTTGGTACATATTCTACACTGTTCATTCCCATTATAAATGCACTTAACTGACCAAATGTATTCTCGCTCACACTATTATAATATTTAAGCAAATCAAGCGCTCGTTTGAAGTGCTTTAATTTTAAAATGATTAAAAGCTCTTTCGGTGATATGAATCTTGGATTCCCAAAGTATATGAAGTGCTCTTTGAAGAAATATCAGATATGTAATTTTTGCAAAAAATACTTAAAAGTGTTTTTTCAGGATCCAATTAGATTTCTACTATGAATTGGTTAAAAAAAATTATTTTCGCTAAAAATTTTTTCAATCATTTTAAAAGTACTTTCAAAATACTTATAATAGAGAGATTATTTACAATCAAACAACATATTTACCTTTAAATTAGTCAATTGAAAATGTCAAAATGTAGTTAGTTTGATGAACGATTTCTTGGTAGCTTAGTATTCGAAAAACAACTTAGCCCGAATCCTAAACCACATTTGTTCATGAATTCAATAGTATCCAAAACAATGTGATGTCAAACTATGAGCAATACAATTGCATTATATTATTGACGAGGACGTTTTACATTCTATAACAGCCATCAGTAGCATCCCAACTAAAACACAGAACAATTTTTTACTTGCTCCTCACTTCTTGATTATTTGCTTGCTTATAAACACAAGGCACATCGCCTTATGTTTGTACATGAGCATAGCCGACTTACCAAGTCGGTTGAGTTGGACTCAGATTCATCCTTGACACAAGCTTGTTCTTGTTCTAGATTTTTCTACAACAGACAAAACAATTTTCTAAACCACCTTACCAACCTAGCCTAAGTCGGTGGACTTGGCTTGTACTTTTCCAGCCAGTGTCCTTAAGTTTACTTGCTATATTTTGCTAGAGTTTTCTGGCTGAATCCATGCACCGAATTTGGGTCATTTGGGTTGCACCGAATTTGCGATGAAAACTCTAGCAAAATATAGCCGCAAGCTTGAAGACTGTGGCTGGAAAAGTACAAGCCAAGTGCACCGACTTAGGTTAGGTCGGTAAAGTAGTCTAGAAAATTGTTTTCTGTTTGTCGTAGAAAATCTAGAACAACCACAAGCTTGTGACTAGGATGAATCTGAGTCCAACTCAACCGACTTGGTAAGTCGGCTATGCTCATGTACAAACATAAGGTGAAGTGCCTTGTTTTTGTAAGCAAGCAAATAATCAAGAAGTGAGAGCAAGTAGAAGAACAATAAGTGTCCTTAGGGTAACGTTGTGAGTGTTAGCTTCTAAAATTGTGAGTTTTTCTTTTGAGAGTTTGTGTGTTGTATGTTGAATTATACCCAAATGACAAAACAACTTTCGGCTAAATAAAATAAACAAAATGAGGTAGACAACATCATTATATTTGTTGAAAAGATAAAAATGGTCATGATGATGTTTGTAGAAAAAAAAAGAAGATAAAGGCTAGCAAGTAGCCTTATTATTGGTTTTGTTTTTGGATGCTTTCAAAAGGATGAAGCTTAGCATCCGAATGTGAAAGAGAAGAAGGAGAGCACCATTTGTTTTAGTAGCCTATCTTTGAGAGAGCAAGTGCAGCCACATAGTAGCAGAAAATAGAGAGCATAGATTGGTTTTTTCAGTAGCTCCATTTTGGAGAGAAGAAGAAAGTGTGCCCTCTCATTGTTTAGTTCTCACTCCATCAAAGTTTTATTGTTGTAATAGCTTTGAGCTTTGTATAGAGAAGAAATTAATCACTATATTTCTTTCTCTATTTGTTTATTTGGTGTGTGAGAGCTATTGGTTGTATTGGGCTTTTGGGTTGTGAGCTTGCCAACACTTTGTAAACTCTCATTTGGTTGATAGTGGATTATTGGGTGAGCTCCTACTGCTCCGAGGATGTACTCGAGTTAAACTGACTGTTGAGGAACCTCGTTAAAATCTCGGTGTCTTTATTTCTTGTATTTTATTATGTTCAACTATGGTCTGTATCTTGGTGAGGTAATCTGAATCTCGTTTTCGCACTAACGAATGGGCCAAGGCACAACAATTGGTATCAGAGCATCGTTGGAGGCTTTGGTTCGTTGAAGGCTTTGGTTCGTTGGAGGTCTAGATTTATTCACCATGGAATTTTCAATTGAGCAGTTTAATGAGAGTGGCTGTTTTACGCTTGGCAGATGAGAGTAATGAAGAGTTTCCAGGTTGCAGACAATGAAGAGGAGGAAAACCTGCTAGAGGAGACAAGGGTGTGTCGAGATCCTGTCTGAAGCTAAATGGTGAATTTTAGCTTGCACCAGCTGCACATGCATTGGCAGTGACTGAATCGGAATAGGACCAACGAGGTTGATTCAGGGTGTGCATGCTGGTACGTAAGGCCAATGGACATTGATGATGGGTGCAAGGATTTTTGCACTGTATATTCGCCAAGGTGGAGATCGTTGTGTTTGGCTTATATAATTATGAGTTGGCAACCATTTCCTCTCAACCATGTGGAGTGCTACAAAGGAAAAGCAAAAGTAGGTTTGCTTTTGGACTTTTGGAAGCATGTTTTGTGGATGTTGGGAGCACTTTTTCTTTCTTTACATTAAATTACAAAGAAAGCAAGCACAATTACATGAAAGCAAACCAAAGGTTACTGATCGTGCTCCCAACATCCACAAAACATGCTTCCAAAAGTTCAAAAGCAAACCTACTTTTGCTTTTCCTTTGTAGCACTCCACATGGTTGAGAGGAAATGGTTGCCAACTCATAATTATATGAGCCAAACACAACATTGTAATATTTGTGGGTGTAATACAAGTAATTTGCTTATTTGTTTTGTCTCTCCAACACTTAGAGTTGTGTACTCTAATTTTCTCAACAATTGGTATCAGAGCTAAGTTCAACTTTGGTGGAGCTTCCTTGAGTCGTGAGGAGTTCAGTACTCTGCAAGTTTGATCTTATTCGGCGTAGCGAAATTATGCCAGTGCAATGCGTGATCTTCAAGTAGTTGAAGGATCAAGAGGCCCAACAACAAAAATTACAACACATAGACAACATGAATGGAGTCTTATTGCAAAGACATCTCACTTACGTGTTGTAATTTTTGTTTTTGTGCCTCTTGATTCCTCCAACTACTTGAAGATCACCCATCATGTTGACAGAATTTTGATCCACTAAACAAGATCAAACTTGCAAGTAAGACTCTATGCATATCGCCCATGTGTTGTAATTATGTTGTTGAGCTATTGATCCTCCAACTACTTGAAGATCATGCATCGTGTTGGTAGAATTTCTGTTCGCCGAATAAGATCAAACTTGCAGAGTACTGAACTCCTCACAACTCATGGAAGCTTCACCAAAGCCGAACTTGGCTCTGATACGAATTATTCAGTATTAGAATACAAATTATAATATTTGGATGTTGAAAGACAAAAACAAGTAAACAAATTACCTATATTACACTCATAAAATATTATAACAAATAAACACTCAAGAAAAGTGCACAATTTATAACGTAACACTCACTCACTTTTTTAAAACAAAATCTATAGCACTCACAGTCTTATTGATTCTGTCTCGCTTCTTGGTTATTTGCTTCTCTGCTTGCTTCTTACAACAAGACATATCACATATTTATAGCCAATGTTTGCCGACTTTTCTACTGCTTACCGACTTAGCTTGGCATAATAGCCACACATTTTTGGTAATTTCTAGTCCTTCTAGAAAAGGCTACTATAACTTAGATGTTGCTGGACAAACCGACTGTTGGGCGTGAATACTCGACCTTTTCAGTTTATTCTGGATTTGTGCAGGACTTTTAATGAGCTGGGTTGATTTCTTTGACAGGTGAGTCTACTAAGTGCTTCTGGAACCCCTCGATCAGCAGCAGATTTGGATTGGTCCAGTTTGTGAACAGGGAGGACGCCGAGATAGCAGTCAAGAAACTGAATATCTCTGACTCTCGCAATCACTGCCGTAGGGTTCAATTCGCCGCACACTGTAGGAAAGAGATATATGTACGCCGAGAGTTTGAGTAGAGTAAGTCGTGTGAAGATGTTGTCCTCATGAATGTAAATGTTTTTCCAGGATCTTGGTCGTCCTATAATATTAGTTTGTATAAATATATGACGTGAAGACTTTGTTGCTAATTTTGGTTATTCATAGTTGTTTTCCATTTTTCCATCAAACCCTTCAAAATTGTTTTGCTTGAATTTGATATTTTTTTTTTATTGTGCTGGAGTGGCTGAGTTCTTCGGTCATTAAATCGAATGATTTAAAAACAATTAATAAACAAAATATTAACAATGTGTTAAAGGTAAAAAAATTGAATATTACTACTTTTAAATAAACTCAAATCTTTAGAGTTTTACACATAGTTAAATTTTTTTTGTCTCGTCTTAATGCTTAACGAGGTTCCGAAATAATGTAATAATATAAATGCTGTGATTGGACGTAACTACACCGAAGATGTTTAGAATTGTGCTTAGGAAAGATGTTTAAATGTTGTTGCTCAAAAGTTTCGAGTTTTGATGGAACCATAGTGAAATTATTTCCTGCAGGATTTGATGGAACCATATATTTTGAGGGCGAGCACAATATGGGGAAACTATTGCATGACCGTAACACATGTTGCATACACTTATGATCTTATCATAAAAATAATATTTGACATATCTTATCTTTTGTTATCCATCGTATTGATCTACGAACTTAGACATGTAACAAGAAGAAAAATCAAGATTAAATGTGGAGAATTTTTTTTTTATTACACTTCGTCCACTTAACAGAAAACAGATGTCATGTTATTGAACTAGAGACAAATATGTATGCAGTATTGTCAACTCTCCCACTTAATAAAGAACGAACGTTATGCACATAGAAATAATATCAAGCCTTATGTTGTACTGGAGTTTTTTTTTGGGTACTAGTCAAGGCTGACAAAATATATGTAATGCAAGTCCATTGAAAATGGGTTTATATGAGATAGAAGTGAAGATTGGAGATAAGGAATTGTTAAAGAGTGAATGCTATCGTTATTTTGGAAGAACGAAGAATTAAATAGAAATCTCAATTCTAGGATACAAGCTGGAATGATGAAATGAAAGAGTGCAGCGAGTGTGCTGTGTGACTGTCATATGTTGGTAAAGTTGGGGTTGCCACAATTAAAAATAAAGAGAAAATTAGTTAAGGTGATTTGAACACGTGAATCGACGACTTGCAATGACTCCGGTTAGAAAAATCGACTATGAGATAGAAAGTCAATCTTCAAAAAAAAGATTCTACCCCGCTCAACTTAATAAGATAATACTTTATTGTTGGTTTTACGAGACCCAAGGCCCAGAAAACATAAAAACAGCCCCACTCATCAGCAAGGACAAAACGGCGAGTTTCAGTCCATCTGCTTCAAATCTTTTAACCTGCCACTGTGTCCATCTCTTCGCTCTCCTCCTCAAGAAATGTCGTCGTCTTCTTCAATCTCATCGTCGTTTCGATTATTCACCACCAAAATCCCTAGCTCAATTCTCAAACCTAAAACCCCAAAACCTCCATCCATCTCTTTCCCCAAAAGACCCATCACTTTCCAAGGAATCCCCACTATATCCTCCGCCTCCCCTCCGCCGCCGTTCGCATCCGCATCGAGCTCCACGTCCCTGCAGCCCGTCGAGGACCTCCCTCCGAAGCTCCAGGAAATCGTCAAGCTCTTCCAGTCTGTACAGCTCCCGAAGGCCAAGTACGAGCAGCTCCTGTTCTACGGCAAGAATTTGAAGCCGTTGGATGATCGATACAAGACGAAGCAGAACAAAGTGGAGGGATGCGTCTCGCAGGTGTGGGTCAGGGCGTATCTTGACTCAGAGAAGAATGTGTTTTTCGAGGCTGATTCCGACTCGGTCCTTACCAAGGGACTCGCTGCTTTGCTAGTTAGCGGGTTATCGGGCCGCCCGGTGGATGAGGTTTTGCGGGTTTCGCCTGATTTCGCGGTGCTTCTGGGGCTGCAGCAGAGCCTGACTCCGTCGAGGAATAATGGGTTTTTGAATATGTTGAGGTTGATGCAAAGGAAGGCGAAGGAGTTGCTTGTGGAGGAAGAAAATGGAGGGGAGAGTGAGCGTTTCACGGCGAAAATTGAAGATAGTGTCGAAAGTTTGGAACTTGGAGTGGATTCTGAAGTGGGCGGGGGAAAGAATTCGAATTCGGGTTTGACAGTTGATGGTGGGAATGAGGGTGAGGATATTGGATTGAGTTCTAGAGAAAATGTTAAGCAATTGGAACTGGTAGCGAGTGAAACGAGCGAAAATGTGGGAGATTCAGGTGACTTGGGAAGCAGAGGGAAGAGAATTCAGGAGAAATTGATGCGAGAGTTAAGTCCTGTGGAATTGGAAGTGGAAGACATATCTTATCAACATGCCGGGCACGCTGGGGTTAGAGGAAGTGGTGATGGGGAGACGCATTTCAATGTGAGAGTTGTGTCTAAGGAGTTTGAAGGGAAGAGTTTGGTTAAGAGGCATAGGCTTATATATGGTTTGTTGCAAGAAGAATTGCAAAGTGGACTACATGCATTGTCGATTGTGGCAAAAACACCATCTGAAGTGAGTGGAGGGTGAAGGCACGGCTCTGGGTTTCTCATGTGAAAGAGGTTCATATTTTTTAATTTTTGCTCTTATATACTGCTTCGATGATCTTATAATGATGTTGTTGGTCTGAATTTTCAGAACTGTTGTACACATAGTGCTCATAAGATTTGTTAGAATGTGAACATATGCTTTCTTGAATCTTTATAAGCATAATTGAATTACATATTGGTGAAAACCTTGTGGCGAACTAGCTATTTACGTTAGTTGTCCTTGCAATTCTTTCAAACATTGATTAACTTGGCATAAGACACTGGATATGCTTTTAAAGCAAATAATGAGACCTAACGATATAGCACTTAGGGGGATCAATAATTCTAATGGAAATTGTCGATTTGCAGACTGAATCTCTATGTGGGTTCTTTACCATAAGGTAGTTTAGATATGTATTGTCGTCCAGTGGAAATTTTAGTACAAAGTATAGAGGTTGTGCTAGTTTTCATCTGCTGGCTACTCTCCAGCCACCAGCTGTCCATTACGTAACACCGTTGATTGTCTAGTACACAGTCGTATTGAACATCCGACAGTGATCTTGCGGTGTTTCTTTAAACTACAAATCAATCTCTTTATATCTAGAAAAGAGATATAGTATATTAGGTGATTTCTGAACTATATAGAAAAGTACCCCCAACAAATACAAACCTGTAGCTGGATTCTCCAGCTCTTGTCTTGAATCAATCTCTGGTTAACTTTCTGTAACAATTTGGACCGAACATTGCTTTTTGTATGAATTCTTTCTTTTAATTAAGTAAACATATGAAAGTGGTGGTGCAGTGCTGAAGCACCATAACGGACTAATGTGTCGGTATTAAAACAAGGGAGAAGTTATGCCCAAATCTTTGCAGGATCCTAGTTGAATCTCCATACATCTCTTGCTAGTGCTTCTGATTCCTCTGTTTAGTTCCAATTCAGCAGACCTTTTTTCTTTTTTTTTCTCCGTTCTGCAGACGAGGCTATCGTGTTTCCTCTGTTTTTCAGTCCCATTTCTTGTGTACCGTATTTGTTCTAGATGATAAGTTGTGTCCTGTAGGTTTTGTTACTAAGGGACTCGTGATACAGCCAACCGAATGTCCGAACGCAAAAACAGAAAAGAAAAAAACTATTTCGTAAGTTAGTAGAAAAGAATTCTTATGTATCATATTTATATAGCTGATATAACCTTTATACATTTAGGTTTCAATGTAGACATAATTAGACCATAAAAGGAAGATAGCAGGAAATAGTTCTCCTGATCTTCATCTTTTAGATTTGCAACTTCTTGCAACTAAAACACCAGTTGGCGGACCTGTCATCTGTAACTGGCATCTGCTGTGCAACCAGTAAGAAAAATGGATCATACCTAGACTGGCTCTCACTTTAAATGTTCCTCTCATATTATAGGTGACCCGATTGTTCTGCACCTGTGTCCGAAGTGCCACAGCGTGATTGACAGGCAGGTAAACCAAGCTCGATATTAAGCGAACTGATCCCAACCTTCCTTCTCCAGGTCTCTGTGTGAAAGGTGCAAGAGATTGAGTTGCTATGAGCCTGTCAGAAAAGTAAAGCTCCATATCCAGATACTCAAATCTTATATCGATTTTCCGATTAGGGTTGGAGAAATTTGCGAGGAAAGTGAAGTCGCCGTTGAAGTATTCCGGTGAGTCGAAGTAGATGGTGTTGAGGCTTGCATTGGGGATGTCAAATGATGGGGTTTTCGGTTTGACAACTAGGAAGAGTATCAAAGTTGCAATTCCAAAGAAAATAAGAATAAGGCTAAATATGAGACACGCAATAGCACAGCACCATATGAGCGGATTTGTCCGCTGAGGTTGCCGCAGTCTTGTTTGCTTTGTCGGTTTACTTGAGACTAGATTTACTTCATCAGGTGCTGGGGCTCCTCGATTCGCAGCGAACTTTGATATGATGATTTGGGAGATTGGTGTACTTGGCCTTGGGGACCGGGGCGGGCGTCTGGTATGCCGTTGGGGCGGGGGTTGAGGTAGCGGCGAAGGTGGAATTGGAGACGGCGGTGGAGGTGGGAGGGCTAACATCTCTGAAGAACAACCAGAAGCAAAACAGGTGAACTGAACCTTGTAATGAAGGGGGAAGATGAAGATAATTGTTTGTTTAAATAAATGAGGAAACTGATTAAAGCAAGTAAAGGAAAAGAAGCTTTTGGTTGAGGGGTAGGAGTGGTATTTGCAAAAGAGGGTTTTGGTGGAGCTAAAGGTGGGATGTTTGTGTTTGAATGGTTTTGCTTTTGAACTTGCTGATTGCAAGCACTGTTTGAAACAGAAGTGGCCCTGATCTGCAAAGTGCTTTGATTATAAGCACTTTTGATTGGTTTGACCAGTCGAAGTTGTGAATGGTTAGAGGTACTGCCAGCTTGCAGCTCTTATTGAACGCCTAAAAATGTTTTTATCGACAACTAAAAATGCTTCTAACTGTATTTAGTATAAATAGTTAAAGTGCCTTCTACGACATAAAAACATTTTGTGAAAGAGCATATATCAGATGATTTTTCATGACGTCGTTGGATTTTTGATAAAAACTTGTACCGTGTCTCTAATGAAAGCGCTTATAGCGTAAGAACTTGTGAGCACAAGTGTTGGCTACAAAAGCAATCCAAAAAGATGAACAAGATCAAGGGGTTTGGAGCCCGTGATGTAATAATCTTACCATGCTGCTGGTTTTAGCTTATACAAACTTGTAAGTGTTTTGACATGTTTAGCCACTAAGGAAGGCGGAAAGTTAGAACTTGCTATAAAGATAGTGCAGAAAAACACTAGACAAACAAAAAGGTTGAAAAGTAAGCGGGTCATGTGTAATCAGTTAGCTCTAAATCATTGGAACACTGAACTATTTGGGATTCATTTATCTTTTCCTTATTTTTCAAACGTTAGAAACGTTTGTTTTTTTATTTTATTTTATTATTATTATTATTATTTTAATTAGTGGCAGAGATTTCATTAAAGGCTCAAAAAAGTCAGAAAGTTAGAACAACTAGTTACAGAGTGATTCCTCAAACAAGAGATCAATAATAATATCCGGTAGTTCTTCAAACCAGTTACGAAAGTACGAATTACTTAGAGCACCTAATGTGAGAGCAGCTTGAGCAAGCTGGTGTGCGATTTCATTTTTTTTTAACATTATTATGTGATGAGTGAGGTACATAATTTATCTTATAAGAAAAACAGATTTAGCACTTATTTTTAAAATTTTCTGCACTTCAAACTAAATATTTTCGGATGATAACAGGCTAAAGAAATGAGATGAAATCACTCACAAAAAATGTAGTGTCAAGTACTCAGGACTAGTGTTGCATAAAGATTCATATCCCCCAAAAGCCATGCCAATCATGGAATGCCTTAGGTCAGGCTGGCAGCTGGGTGGAGTGGTACAAAGGAACCCTAGTGCGATCTGCTACTGAAGGTAGGAGATGGGGCCATTCACGTTGTGAATAAGTTATGTAATGAATTTGTTGAATGGTAATGTTAGAGAGATTAAATTTTTAAAATCAAATTTGCAAATTAAAATAGTGTGATTGTTGATGATTGGATTATTATTTAAGTATTGATTAACGTACTTATTTCCTATTGGTGACACATCATTTAGTTTGTAAATTTTGGTCTTCCTAACACTATCATTTGTTGCCACTTAGTACTACGGTCTAGTCGTATTCCTCTTCACTTGTAAGTGAGAGGTCTTAGGTTTGATTTTCGTCAAAGGGGAATTTGAACCCTATTATTGCTAACTCATTGTGAGGCTAATCTTACCTCATTATTTTACTGTAAATAATATCGTTTGTTAACAAAAAAAAATAAAAAATAAAAAAAATAAAAACCTACCCTTTGTTGAAAAACCCGAAGTGTCTCTTCAAATTAATGATGGATCAACACCACACCAGATTTCGTGGGTCGAATCGATTAGTACACCCACTAACGTACAACTCTAATCGCAATAATCTAGGAAATTATTTAGGAACATATTAAGAAAAGGAATTCTTAATACCATCAAGGGTAGTGTTATTCACATATTATTTTTTACTATTTTCACACTCTTGTTAATTTTTTTTTATTGATCTTCCTCAATTCATTCAATTTGACAGTTGAAAATTAAGATGGGTACATGAGAAGTAAAAATGTGGGTGTATAAATATCATTACCCTACAATCAAATTACAATATTTACCTTACTCTTCTAGCAACAGAACATACATAGACAACTGTAAAGAAAATTTCCTTATCATACTTTTTGGGGATTTTCTCCTCTCTAAATTCTTCTCTCTATTCCTTTTCTCTTACTTAAACGATCACGATTATATCACATTAACATTTTGTATTAACTTATGAAGAGAGAGAAAGATAAAAAATTTAAAAAATAAAAAAAAAATAAAAAAAAATGAGAAAAATGAGATTTGGAGGGGAGAAAATCTTGCTCCTCTCCTCTCGAGATATAGGATCTAATAATTGGTACTATGACTCGTTTGTGCATGCTACCGCACGTCATCCAAGTAGCAAAAGGTGAGTCCAAGCAGTAGATCAGGTCTGTCTCAACGACTTGGTGCATGCCCGAGGGCGCACACAGTATACAGCAACTCAACAACTGGTTGGGGTCATTATCCAACATTTCAACTAGAATTTGGCCGTACACATGTGAGAGATATTTTATATTGTGGAGGTTGCTTGGCTGTCAAGAAAAATAATCAATCATTCTTGACATGTCATATTGCCTTACGTAATGTGAATCATATATATGTTTATTTTCACAATTTGCAAATATTTAAGGAATATTCCATTTGACATAGTCACATAAGTAAAAAATATGTTCGAAAATTTGTCCCTGGAGACTGGGAATATGGACTTCCTTCACCCTTAAAATAAAAAATTTTAACCATCATGGGATGGTCTAGTGGTTGGGGATGGATTCCAGACCTGTATTCTATATGGCATGTCCTGAGTTCAATTCATGATGCTTGTGAATCGCACGATGGTGGCCAGAGAGAGGCTGAAATGCCTTTGTGAGTCTTCCTGGCGACCACCAACTGGTCCCTATTTTAAGAAGAGAAAATAAATTTTTTTCACTCAAATTTATGATAGTGCCATACTACTTTTATATGGAAACGAAAGACTTCGACTAATATTTGCTATGCTATATATCTATATATATTACTGCTTGTATGTAGAAGGTGGATTGCAGGGTGGGAATGATAAACTTGTAGTCATGCATGTACCAGGTGTGCCTTTTTTTTTTTTTATCCAAAAAAAGGAAACAATGGGATTTCACATTGTAAAAATTTTCTTTTACGAGTATTTTTGAATTATTAAAAGACTATAATGTAAATCGATGATCTCATCATTGAGTATTGTTAGACCCCGATCCAACCTTAACTCATACACACAAGAAAGTATTCATACAAGAATTAAAATCACGTACAATCAATTCCTTCCACAACTTGATGTGATAGGGTGATGCTATTTATGCATTCATTTTTACTTTTCATACATCACTTGTTAATTTATGTCATTTGATCTTCTTCAATTTATTCGATCCGACAACCGGAAATTGAGAGAAATATATAAAAGGTAAAAAGAAATATGTGGATAGCACCACTCTAAGTTTGCAAGCTGAACCGCCTACCAATCTCTCATCTAAAACATACCAGTAGCACCCGAGCTCTACAATTAATTTATTAACCTAAGCCAATGAATCAAAATAAAGTCTGAAAATTCTAGATTATTTTAATCCTCTAAGTTCTAACTAAGTAGTTTTTCTGTGTGGTCGATCGTTGCCTATAAGCTACAAAAAAAACCCTAGTAATTCAAACTGATTTACTCAGTCCTTGGGTGTACTACTCAATCACTGTTAAAAAAGACCCCAGTAAAACTGATTTAAATGCCAGAAAATGGAAAGAAAGAAAAAACTTAATTAAGACGATACAGAAACATTTTCTGGGTTGCCTATAATATTACGTAGAGAAAATTAACAAAAGAAGAGTATATATAGAGAGAATTAAGAAGTAAGAATGATAATCTATAATCTTTTATTTGCAAGTAGCTGAGAGACGCCAGCTGATCAGGACTATGCCTGCGAAACCGCGGTAATTGATCTGACTTTGCATTGTATATTTCTGAAAGAAAAAAAAAAACTAGTCTCTTAGATACTTCCATGTAATTGCTAGGACTGAATAGAGGATCCTCTTCGGATCCATTTGTGGGGATCCTAAGAATTCTCACATCATAGCCGTTCATCGTACATCGTACGGTCAATTTTTGTTAGATATACTATTTGTATTTAATTTTAAATAAAAGAAGTCAAATGATTTCTGACTGTATAATACACGATGAATGGCTAAAATGTGGGGATCCTTAGAATCCCCACAAAATGGATCCGGATGTGATCCAATTCCGTGGGGGATTAGTTGTGTGGTCCACACGACATCGAACTTTAACGACCCGAACCTTCTATTTTTCAAGTTGCACCTCATAGATCATCCTTACAAAATATTAGCCAAATCGGAAATGTTTAAGACATCTAATTGGGTTCAAAGAAATTAACGAATACTTTGTTATGTAAGAAACAATGAAATTTTATCTTAATAATTAAATAGGCAAATGGTTTCGGATTGAATTGAATTTTTGCAAAGATAATCTATGAATCGAGACTTACAAAATAGACTATTCGAATCGTTGAAATTCGAGTGGAGTGAGCCCCACACCTAATCCCTATTTTTTGAAAAAAAATTAGGATCCTTTCGCATAGAGGGCCTATATATATATATATATATATATATATATATATATGTTGCCCTATATAATACAAGTCCACAGGAAGGAAGTAATACTGTAGGACTTTTTTTTCTTTTTTTTTTCTTTGTCGAATACTGTAGGACTAATTCGGTCGTTATAAATATGCAGTTCTACTTTCACAGATAAATTCGTTCATAGATTCATAGAGTTTTCCATCCCAACAAGCTTAAAAGTTATTTCGTACTTGCCTTCAAGTCACCAACATGGAGGTAAGCGTTTTAATTTGTTCTAAAACATTCCATTAGTACTACTCTAGCATTTTATCGAAAGGAAATTTTGGAAAAAGTTATAGGGTCAGTTAAGTCCTTTCACACGCAAAATTATAGGGCCAATTGTTTCTGACTAGGTCTCAAGCAGTAATAACTAGACGAAGCGTTTGAATGCAAATAAAACTATGGGGTCAGTTAAATTTTATACACGTAGAACTGTAGAAGAGGCAAAAAGACTTTTTTCTAACTTTCCCAATTAAAACGTTCTCTATAAAAGATCTAAGATTTTAACAATATATGTTTGGCATTAATTTATACAATATGATGCAGCAAAAGATAATAGTGAAGGTGGAAATGCACTGTGACAAATGCAGAACCAAGGCCTTGAAGATTGCAGCAGCTGCATACGGTAATGCATCAATCATTTGAGTTTATTTTGTATCAATTCTTCATTCATATTTATTTAGGGTTGGAAAATTAAGATAATTAACTGATGATCGTTAAAATGAAAGCAGGTGTGAGCAAAGTGTCAATAGAAGGAACAGACAAAGATCATCTGGAGGTGAGAGGTGATGGAGTTGACTCCGTTCGCTTGACTGGGTTGTTAAGGAAGAAGGTTGGCTTCGCCACCATAGTCCAAATTGAACAAGTGAAAGGAGGTAATGCAGATGATGGTGAAAAACCAACTCATACTATTGAATGGACGCCATTAGCAAGCTATTATTGTACTCCGCAATGCCCTCCAATGTACTGTGAAGTGGTTCGTGAATATTCAGAACCAACTTGCTCTATTATGTAATTGTCCTTGATACACACACACACACACACACATATATATATATGTATATGTTAATGTTAAATATATATGTGTGACTGAGATTCAGATTAAGGAGAAAATTTAACTTCAAACATTTGCCGGTTCTATATACAAGTAAGGTTTGCTTTCTTTGAATTATGGCCCTAACTTCATCTCAATGACTCAAGGATTCGGATTAGGTTTATCGTTGGATGAACTGCATTGCTGATATTGACCCTAACTAAAAAATTTCACCAAATATTCTACAAATTATAGAACATTTAGTGATGACATAATTTCCATTATCCAAAGTTTTAGTTTTGAGTAAAAAAATTTCACTTCCTTATATAATGACAACATTCTTCGCCACGGATTGTTGTTGTATTAAAAAAAAAAAACAAATCCCGTGGCTTCTTGTTGTATGGAAAAAAAAAAAACTCAGGAAAACCTATATACGATGGCATGGATTTAGTTTTCCATTAGCTTTGGGACAAATATTTCATTGCAAACACACTATGCATGATATTTTAAGTCAGCCATTTTCACCCCATTTAGGGACCTTCCGGGTCCAGGGGCAGGGAAGGCTCCAAAAGTATTTCAGCCTCCATCTGGCCACCGTTGTTTGATTCAACCACGTCAGGAATTGAACTTAAGACGTGCCGTGTAGCATACGAGTCTGAATTAGTTCCTAACCACTGGGCTACCCATGATGGTTGTTAATTGAAAATGGTTAATAAAATACAGATCACATGCCAATTATATAATTGTGATTTAGAGTCCCTCTCTTTCTTTCTGTTATAGGTTAGACTGGGAGGTAACCCTACCAATTATATAAGGAACTGTCCCTACTTTCACAATGCTAAACCCTATAGTGCCATGTTAGTTCATTATGGTGGTTTGTTTGGCCATCAAGAAAGAATTCATTCAAAATTTGTGATAGTGCAACATTAGTTTATGTTAAAAAAAAAAAAATAAGACTTAGACTTTGCTATGCAATCTATCACATTTTCTTTCACAATATATATAACAAAGACAGCTGTAGGTTGAAAATAACAAACTATTGCAGTCGTGCATAGGTGTATATATATATATATATATACATACATACATACTTTTGACGATTAATTTGTTATGATTACTCAAAGACTTTGACTTCGCTTTGCCAATAGAAATGTACAAGACATTAATCATCAATTAAAAAGTATATACACGAGTTAAAACGTACACGTTAACACATGGATCTTTGAACGTTTGTGACAAAGTTTAGATTTGAATTTATCCGTTGCATTGTGATATTGTATTATTAATTTGCTTAATATATTATGAGTCAATTATAAATTTACGTAATGGCCACAACGGAAAATTACTCTACATACCTAAGGCAATGAACAAAGATGAATTGTGAGAATTAAATGTTGCTTTCATAAACATCCGTGAATTACTGTGTATAATTTTGACGATGTACGAATCCTATATCATATTAATGAATATCGTACTCTTTTTTAAAAAAAAAATTGACGATGTATTAATCTAAATAAATTTCTCAGTGTGTTTTCAGTTTAAAATTTACATATGTCTGCATGAATCTAATTAATCCTCTAACAATGTGCTTGTTGGCCAATAGAAATTATTATAAATTAGCTAATGCAGATTGGATGAAACGCTGTAAGTTGACTATATATTAGTATGCGTTCAAATTCTGGATATCAAAATATAATTGTCTCCAGTAATACTAAATTTCGTTATCGTTATGGTGTATAGATCAAATGGATTAATTATAGCTACGTGGGGTGCTTCAGAGTGTAAGGCATGTGGATAACTTTTCAGTGGTCGAATCGTGTTCTTCACAATGTTTTGATTAATTTTCTTGAAGTTCAGTTGCTAGCTAGTACTTTTTTTAAGGGAATTTTAACGAAAAGATTCTGGTACTGTTCACTTTAATAAAAAATCACATTTTTACACTAAAAAGTCAAGCATGGTACTATTCATTTTACCATTTATTTTGTCATTATCGTTAAAACTCAAAGTTTTTAAGCATTTTTCATTAGTTTTCTTTTTTTTGAAGGGGTGATAGTGTTCTCATTCCCTTAATCTTATTAAAGTAAAAACAGAAATACAAACAAGGGCAATACAAAGCCAAACCTTCTTGAAGAAAAAACGTAAAACCAAAAATCAACCCCACGTAAATAGAAAACATATAATGAAAATAATCTGAAACAATAATTGGTAGAAGAAGAAAGATCATGAATATAAGCAGAAGTTTCACATGAAAGAACGCTGAACCATCACTACTAGAAAAATAACCATAGACCACCGATCTTATTGGTGCCTATTGGAAACAGTGGACACTGAAATTGGTGGCAAACATCAATTGCTACCATGCAATGACTGAATTAGGGTCCGTGTCCTATATAGAGGAATCTATTGTAACAAACACCACCATCGAAACATCGGTGGCCAATGAACAGTAGAGATATGATATTTTCATCTCTTTGTTTATTTCTTTATTAAAAATATTATATATTTTGTCAGAGAGAAGGTGCCTTTTAGCATATTACAATCCCAGGAAGTTCCACAATCTTTGCATCCATCTAACAACTTGAACATAGTCATTTCAATTACATAATCAACAGATTTTTCCAGATTCACCTGCATAACGATAACACTAGGAGAGTTAAGAACTGGAAAACTTTTAATTCAACCAAAAATAGAAAACACAAACAATATTTCAACACTTGTGTTTGTTACTCACAAATTTTGACAAAATTTACAGATCCCGTTTCACAATTGACAGAGGGAAGCAATTTTATACCTTCTTAGCCTTGATCCGTGGCTGGCTGTTTAAAATCTCAACCGCCATCTCTGGTTGTCGATCGAGGTTCCCCTGCAAACACAGACATGTAGAGTTGATTGAATAAAAACCCCTAATTTGTCGATCAAGTGAATTTCACTCGTCTGCTTCACTAAATAAAAACCCCTAATATGTCTTTTCAAAGCTGCAAACCCCTAATGATATGTTACACACCTGACCCAGAAAGCGTTTGCAAACTTCCACAACAAAACCCCAAAATTGGAAGATAAACGTTTCCTGCAACCAAAAATGAAATCAAACAAAAGATCCACACGCAAATCAGCAAAAAGTATAGAAAGCATTTAGCAAGAATCGAATTTTACAACAATCAATTAAAATTTTTTATCACCAACCAAACACAAAACAACGTCTCACACTAACCAAAGCACCAAAACCGTTGCGATTCCTCCACAGAAAACAGCGGGAAAAAACAGGCTAACCACCCTTCTAAACGATCGGATCGTGATGAAAACACCAAGACACACACAGAGATACATAGAAATAGAAAGAGAGAAAAAACAGAGAGAAGAAAAAAAGAGGAGAGAGCGAAAACCCCGACAGCCACTCACGTGCGACACACATGACCAAGGGCAAAATTAGCACCAATGCACAAACTTCAACATTGAAAATTGCAAGTTGCCACCGAAAAGAAAAGTAAAAAAAAAATTCAGTTGAAAATCATAATGAATGAAGGGCTAATGAGATGGGAGGTGAGTGGATTGTGGTGTGGTCATGTCAATGAATAATTTTTTTTTCCTTTTATTATTTTTTTTCCTTTTATTATTAAAATAAAGGCTAGCCGACATTCACCTCTCCCAGACCCTGCGTAAAGCGGGAGCCTTGTGCACTGGGTACGATCTTTTTTTTTATTATTAAAATAAAATAAATCATTATAAGAAAGTATTTTTATAGTAAAAATTAGCACCAATGCACAGACTTCAACACTGAAAATTGCAAGTTGCCACCGAAAAGAGAGGTAAGAAAAAAAATTCAGTTGAAAATCATAATTTGGTTAACCACACTGTTTTTTGGTGTCTGAGTTTCAATAGCCACGGATAATATATTTTGGTGTATATAAAGTTAGAAAGCCACTGACTTTCTTTAGTGTGTAAAAAAGAGTGTCCTATAGCTAGAATTCTTGTAGTGCATTAGTAATATGCATCATGATTTGCATGAAAGTTAGCTAAGGTATCAGCCAAAAGAGTGTCCTAAGCTATATTACCCATCTTTTATTTTATGTTTTTATTAACTTTTAGGTGTACCAACAGGTATATAAATTTGGAACATTTTTCAATGTTAAGACAGAGTATTTGGAGTTAACGAAGGATCTGATGTAAAACCAAATGCAGTGGTGTTCTAAGATTTATACAGCTAATAAGACTCTGTTGTTGTTGTTGTTTGTTATAAGAAAGAGTATTATTAAATCAAGTGCTTGTTTAATAGCAAAAATATTTGAGATTACTGAAAAAAACAAAAAGAGTATTTACACTTGTCACAGTCATATTCTTGTCGAGTTAATGTGCGATATTAATTTATAAGTACAACATTGGTTGTAACTAATTTCATCATAATGGAAAACCTGTTCAGTTCACTCTCTCTTCAGATCTTGACTTTTCTTATAAACAATAAATAAAATCTTGTCTGTAAGATATATACGATCTCATATTTTTCACTAAAAAAGAAAGAAGAAAGGTACGATCTCAATTAGTAATTGGTACAGGGTAGGCATATATGGACTTGTAATACAAGTCGAGAAAAATATTAAAGGGGATCCTATCTTCTATAAGTAGCATGGCACCTTCGCTGTTTCATAGGGTTTCCATCCCAAAAACTTAAACTTCTATATTTCACACAATATTCTCTCCAAAATGCCGCCGGTAAGCCTTTTCCTATATATATTCTACTAATCTTGCATCTTGTTGCAGTTATATACCTTTTTTCTTTTAATCCAACTGAAACTAATTAATAAGGCGAGAAGGTTTTCTTAAATTAGCTGACATTAATTAAATGTATAAATTGATCATATTGTTTATACATCTTTTGTACAAATTGACGGTGCAGCAAATGAAGATCGTTGTGAAGGTGCCAATGCACTGTGACAAATGCAGAACCAAGGCCTTGAAGATTGCAGCTGCTGCACACGGTATGTGCCTTTTGATATTATCATGATTCAAATTTTCTTTCAGCGATTTCATTGTTAATTATAGTTGGCATGGTTATTAAAGAGTATCATAATTAATGAAAGCAGGTGTTAGTAAAGTGTCGATAGAAGGAGCAAACAAAGATCATGTGGAGGTTATCGGGGATGATGTAGACTCGGTTTGCTTGACGAGGTCATTGAGGAAAAAGCTCGGCTGTTCCTGCACCATAGTCAAAGTTGAAGAAGTGAAGCCGGCAGTTAAAACTGAGGAAAAGCCAACTCCAGCTTGCACTCCCAGTTTCGTCCAATGTACTGTGAACTGGTTCGTGAATATCCAGAACCAACCACTTGCTCCATAATGTAATTGCGTAAGACATGAATTAGTTGAACTTGAGTACGATCATTTTCATTTTCTCTTTTCCCTTGTAGATGCATGGATCTAAAGTTCATAAGAAATATTTTTATATCAATTGCTTCTCTCTTTGAAATTTTGTTTGTGTTTCTGCTTGTGCCTTTTCATGTGTTTCCTAACCCATATGGAATTGCTCAGGTACTAGGAAACACTTCTGATCATAAGTGCTTTTATCAGAAACACTTTTATCACAAACATAACAAGTTTGTAATCCAAAGAGACCATCATTTATATGAGTTGCCTTTAATTATGTACTTGTAATAATCCATACTAATTTTCGACCAATAAATGGGTGAAAGTACGATTATATAGCAGCATGTGTGGATGCATTGTTAATCAGGGTGTCAACACACTTAAACTATATCTATTTCTTGATTTCTCTACAAAATGGGTCCTGTCCACCTAAGCTTTCTCCGCGTGTGGCTGGCTGTTAACCACAAGGTCGAAGGTTCAACCAATCTTCTAGGGGTGCGTTTCTTTTATTTTTCCATAAAAAATGAGTTATTTCATTGATGAAACAGCAAAAATACAATCTAGCCAAGATCTGTTTTGGGTGTTGTCTAGCTTTACGAGTGATGTGGAGTCGCTCCTTGCGGTGACTTTTGTGGGCTTGAGTATAGATCAGTGGTGGCTGATCAGGCCATCTACTTTATTTAATGTATACGCAAGATTCTTTCCAAATTAACAAATATTGAACATTGGAGATGATGCACCCATATTATTGTTTTGTTTCATCATCAAACTAGGTCTAGGAAAAGAAAAAGGATAGGGAAGATCACAGAATTGACCTGACTAGGTACAATACTAAAGAAGAAGGCTCGAAAGTTTTGATCCCAACTCAATAACAAAATACGGTGTAATTTCACCACAAGAGTAGAAATGTGGTGATGACACAACTTTATTATATCCAGGGGATGATTTCGTTTTGCTTTTGATTTTGGGACTGAAGGTTTCATTGCGAAAAAACCATTGGAGGCAACTTAATTTTATGTACATTACACATACAAAAACTTATTACTTGCCACATCAGATAGTGAATCATTGTAGTCTAAAATTGTATAGGTGGTCCAGTGGTTGGAGACGAATTCTAGACACGTATTCTATACGACATATGTCCTAGGTTCGATTCCTGGAGCTGGGTGAATCATAAGATGGTGACCAGGAGAGACTAAAATGCTTATATAAGTCTTCTCAGCCCTCGAAAGAGTAGAATGTTATGGCAAAACCACCGGCTGGTCATCTTTTAAAAAAATAAAATAAAACTATCGTTTCTCTAACATTTTTCTATTATAAAATAAAAAACTTTTTTTTTTTGAACCAGATAAAAGCTTAAACTTAATTTCAAATTCGACCTTCAATTTGAGTAACATTGTTCTCCCTCTACGTACTTTGAAGGGAATTCATTGAAAGATGGCCAAATTAATCTACACCACGTACTACTCTTGTCCCCCCCCCCCAAAGGTAAGAGTAGCAATAGTTCAATCATGGCCATGTACGGCTCTTATTATGCTATCTCCAATTAAACAACCAAATGTTAAACTAAATTATATGTAGGGATTTTATCACGGTTTGGTCTTTGAAACTGGACCCTTCTTATCTAGTGTTCTAAAAATCGGCCAGGCAGTGATCAGCCGCTGCGATTAACCTATAGTCGGGAGGAAAATCGATGATGGGATAAGGCGGGCGCCGAGGCGGTCTTTGCATTTCAATGCCTTTTTTTGTTTTCAAAAAGCGAAAGGAGGAATGCAAAGCACAACTACACAGTTAGTGGGTTTAGAATTCCAACGAGGAAGACGAGAGGAAAAAGAAGAAGAGAGAAAATTAAGGGTACATGCGTACAGCTAGCACAATGGTGCCCCACCTCCCTCCCTTCTATGCATCTTGGTTTCCCACCCTCCATTTTTTTATGTAATTATTTTAAATTGTTGATTAAATATTTTCTTTTTTTTTGTCAAATACTTTGTTTTCAAAGATTAAATGATTTCTAAACATATATTTGGCACCTTTATTCTTCTTTAAATGCACTACAAATTCATATCATCTTTGAAATTTTTTCCTAAAGTACTACAAATTTGTATCATTTGAACTTGTATCTTATTCCATCAAATTCATCAAAGTACTAATGATATAATTTGTGTATTCTTCTACTTCTATTTTTGCATTTTATCATTCTTTTATTATTCATACAAGTATATTTTTTAGATGTAAATAGACACTTTTTACAAGATATATAATAAATTTACATAAATCCGCCTAGACACTCGCCTATGCCCTGCCTAGCCGCCTAGGCACTAGGCCTTTGCCCGCTACCCAACTAGCGCCTAGCAATTTTTAGAAACTTGTTCCTATCAAAATGATTTTTGAAATTAAAAATCCATCAATTTGATCCCTAAAAATGGACCGCAAATCAATTCATTCATTTTGTAACATTTTCATTAAATTCTGTATTAATATGCTTATGTGGCAAACGAGTGAGTCACATGGATACAATCATATAATGCCACGTGAATTAATCATAAAACCAATTTTTGTACCTTCTAAGGTGAGGATCCTACTTTTAACTCTAAAGTTAATATGCGCAAGTCTTGAGCACCCTGCTTTTTAATGTTAGATAGAATTGTTTGTAACTATTGAGCCCAAAGCTAAACATGACTTTGCATTTGACTCCAAAGTACTGAACAACTCATATAAGCACTACCCTATAAAATAAAGAAACTTTTACTGATTCAATATTAATTTACCTCTATTTCATATAATAATATATATAAATTATTTTCACATACATATAAATGGAAAACAATTCACCTACAAAATAAAGAAATGTAATTTGATTAAAAAATTATATATCTACTACTCATTGTCTATGAATTTTAATTTACCTATTGTTTAATTTTTTATAAAAAAAATAATGCATCTCCTGTACAAAAATAATGTACCTATAATATAATTTGTGCAAATATAACTTACCTATTGCTTAATTTTTATAAAAAAAATAATGTATCTACTGTACAAAAATAATGTACCTACTGTAACGACCCGTTCCCAATTTTAAGGTTTTTTTATAATTTTAATAAGTGAATTTACGAAAATGCTCTTTAAGGCAAATGCGTTGACTTTTGTTGATTGCCATGTCGTGCCACGTAAGACTCGTTTTGTTGGTGTATTCTCATAATACTCATCGCTACGAACGCGTAGGCGCAAACGGAACGTAATTTGAAGTTATAACAAAGACTCTACGAACCTTTAAATAGCGAGGGTATTTTGGTAAATTGACAATTGAACATGTGAAATTGGTTGTGTGCCACATGGGACCCACAGATTGATCCCCATTTTTCTGGTTCTTGTTTTCCTCTTCTCTTTCTTTCTCCCGTTAGTCTCTTCTCAGCTCACATATCTCTCTCGCCCTCAACTTCCTCCCCGTGACACTTAAGCACCAATCCACCTTCTCGACGAATTAACGACGCACCATATTCTTACTCTCCTCGGACCTAGAAACCTGAATCAAATTTTGGTTTCTCGGAATACTGTGAACGGATGCCATTTCAAGAACCTTCATTGAAGCCGTGGGTTTCCCTTTAGTTTCAGACAATTTCCAACCATCTTTTGAACTCAAAACAGGTATAAATTGATTCCTCCCGTCGATTAGATGAATTTTCATGTTTGGATTGTTTAATTTAGTGAAGAAATGAGAAAGTTACAACGATTTAAAGTTTGCCCAGTTTTTGGCTATCTTCACCACTTTCGAGGCATTTTACGGTCAAACATGGCTAGTTATCGTCGTGAAAGGTACCAATCTCTTCATCTCGTTGAGAACTATGATTTCCATTTTTGAATTACTTGATTTTTTTGAGTATTTACAAAGTTATGGACGTTGAAATGTTGCCCATAAATTCTGGCGAATATCCCTGTTTCCCGCTGGCAGCCGTCTTTCAGGCCATTTTATGGCCATCTCCGGCGACCATATGGAATCCAAGAAGGTATAATTTTTTTCTACACTTCTCTAGCTTCGATTTGGTATATTATGAGTCGATTTTGGTTAAAAAACAAGTGAGATATGGAGTTCTAAAGATTGCCCTGGAAGGCTGCAAAATCTGCAGAATCCAGCGAAAATTCATTAAGGTCCGCCACTTAAATAGTATAGCAATCGATGATCCAACCGTTGGATCGTCACTAAACTTTAATACATTATAATATGTAATATTTGAGGACCATAGGAACTTACGGATCGGGAATCGACATACAAATCTTTCCGAATTAGATTTGTAAGTTCGTAAAATAAAACATTAACCGCCACATGAATTTGCAATTGGCGGAGATCCAACCATTGGATCGTAATGAAATTTTAGTATGTTATTCTAGACGCATAATGTGGATCTTTGGAAGTTACGGATCAAAAATTTGAGATTCGGATCTTCCGGATTGAGTTACGTAGGATTATGGACCCTATCGTCGACTTTTGACCGACAGTTGACTTTTGGTCAATGAGTCTCAAATCATTCTAGAATGTCCTTGAGGATGTGTTTTATGTAACTTACATGTTCTATTGATAAGGATTCTAAGATGTGGGTTGATAATTGTTCTAGGTGCCGATCACTCGTGACACCTCGATGTTTGTGCAAGGGAGTTGTAGCGTGGACTCCGGGTGAGTGGGCTTTTGGTTTTCTATATATACGTATATATGTTTTACATTTTCCCAGAAACTGTTTTAATTTGCGTATATTTTAAGTGCCATGTCATACTTGCATGTTATTTTAGTATATGCATTAGTATAGATATGCATATTATTGCATGACGCTGCGGACGCCCAGGTAAGCTTCAGGTGAGTACATATTGATGATAGTGATTGCAGTGTGTATGGTTATGTTTAGATGCATTTAGTGCTCATTATCCTGCACCCCGGTGTTAATGCTCTGCCCGAGGCCAGAGCCTAGCCTTCACGTGATCGTTCACCTCCCACACCACACACTTACCTTGGATCCAAGGCAGGTGCCAGCTTGTCGTACATGCCACATTAGGTGGTTCCGACTCGTAGGTGACTTACGATACTTCGCACAACCTTCACGTGATTGTAGCACTTAAGCGTATCTATTTACACTCAGCATGTCGTACAGACCACATTAGGTGGTTATGACTCGTGTGCATGAATTGGTTATGAGTTATAGGTTCAGCTGTATATGTCACATTAGGTGACTCCGACTGACATATCATATTATATTGATTCAAATCACCTGGCTTACATATTTATTATTGAAATACTTGACATGGCACTCACTTTGGTTTTCATTACTCTCAAGCCTGATTTCTATATACTTATGTATTATTATTTTATGGGAAATTATACGGGTTTTACAGTGAGGGGTTATTATTTTTGGAAAGAGAAATGGTTTGAAAAAGCTTTGTTTTTGCCCACTCATGTTTTTTGTTTTTCGCCCCTCTAGGTTTTAGCTGCTGAAGTTCGTATCGATGAGGATTCTTGGCAAATCTCAATATAGGTGGCTACCTCTGAGGGTATGATCATTACCCACACTACTGTACTTTACTTATGCTCTCACGTCACGTGTGAAATTGGTCCATTCATGCTCACAACGCACTCTTGTCCTTAGGCACTTTTAAGTTTAAATTTATTCACATTTTCCACATCACTACACTTTGGCTTCGTCACATTCCAGGTGTCGGCCAGTACATCTCGATTCGGAGTCCTAGTAGACATACCGGGTCGGGGTGTGTCACCTACACTATAAAATGTAATTTACCTATTGTTTAATTTTTATAAAAATAATGTATCTACTATACAAAATAATGTACCTACAATATAATTTGCCTAATGATTAATTTTTATTAATATGGGTAAATTAATATATATATATATATATATATATATTTGTGTTAATAGTATTTATGATACAAGAAAGGTATATTTTCATATGGGTTTAATTGGTGATCATAATTAGGGTGAGTAATTCTATTCATTGACAAAATTAGAGTTTTGTGGTATAAGTTGTAAATATGTTGGAATAATTGGTTACATATTTGTCTACATGGTAGTCTATTCGAAATTTGAATGTTATTTGAATATTTATTATTAAATAGGATTTTGTTTGAAAAATAAGAGTTTCAAAGGTCTATCTCTAAAAAAGCCTAGAAATTATTATATTACTTTAGTCTAAAGTAGGAGGGAAATTGGCACCATTCATGTGAATAGTATTTTGGACTACATTTCAGTTTATTTACAATATTGCCACTCGAATGCTTTTACCCATCTTTCTCTTTATTTACAAAAAAACCCCTCAGGCTTCAGACCCGATTTGTAGCCTTTGGGCTGCATCTCTCGTTTGACTCAGGAAGAGAGAGAGGATGGGGGTACCGATTGGTACGTAGACAGGACGGGACGGGACGGAACAGGACGGAACGGATGATGTAAATATTGAAAAAGATAAGGAGAAATTTTGTTATAAAATGTTATAAATTTGTGTTTCACGGATGTGGAACGAGTCGTTCCCAGGTGAAACGAAAAATCAGCCAAATTTCGTTTTATGGGACAATCCATTTCACAGTTTTTAGACGTACCAAACACGGGACGAAACGACTCGTCCCGTCCCACGTATCAAACGGTACCTAAGGGCTGACAAATTGGAGAGAAGAGACAGCTGGGTGTGGGTGTGGCTGTGGCGAGAGGAGATGAGGGGCATAAGAGGGATTGACAGGTTGGAGAGAGATGGGAGCTACGGGTGATCTTGATGCCGCGTGTTGATAATCGTGGCAAGGTAGGGGTGCGATGGTCGCTTTAGTCTATAGGGTTTCGAACGGATTGGGTGGGTTAGGGAGACTTTCATTTTCCTTTATTTCTGTGAGCTGCAGAGGGACTCGGTGAGACCATGCCGTCAGGAGAGAGAGCAGGAGGGAGAGAGAGGGATTTGGTGAGGGGAAGGCATGCGGCTTGCAGAGATGAGGATGAGAAAGGGGGAGGGACAAAGGAAGAGAGAGAGATAGGGATTGGGTGAGGGGAAGGCATACGGCTTGCAGGTAGACAGAGTCACAGGGGGTGTACGATTCAAGGGAGAGAGAGAGAGAGAGAGGAGATTGAGTGGTGGCATCACTCTCACTACCTGCACTCCTGAGGCCGGCTACCAGAGAGAAGGACACATGATAGGAGAGAGAGAAAGAAAGAGAGAGCGTGCAGAGGCAGGAAGGCCTGAGATTGAGGACAAAGGCCATGGTTGCACAGAATGACTGAGATTTGAAGCCCATGACAGCCTCAGCTGATTGAAAATGTGAGGAATCGTTTTCAAATCTTTTGTGCTTTAGGATTAGGATTACAAACTCTATTCATATCATGCAGCTTCAGATTCGAAATTGTGATTTTGGTCAGCAAACCCAGCTCAAGTCCTCTACAAATCAAACCTCACAAAGTAAAGCACTCCGATTCCGATTCATGTCATGCTTCTGATGGATCTGGTTGTGGTCCCTGTGTATTTGCGCATCCATATAACTCTGATTTGTCCAACATGCTCATGGATTTTTCTGTATTATTTTGCAGGGCAAATTACTATATTGCCTATTTTCCTTTCAAATCCAACGGGTCGATGCAGGCTAGAGCTGGTATAGATTACAAATATTAGTTTTGCATAGCACTGTAATTTTGATTGGTGAGATCGGCCTAATTTAAAAAAAAAAAGAAGAACAGCCATTGCGCCATTGAATCCTAGAACAAAGCCTTTTCCCACTAAGTGGGGTCGGCTATATGAATCCTAGAACGCCATTGCGCTCGGTTTTATGTCATGTCCTCCGTTAGATCCAAGTACTCTAAGTCTTTTCTTAGAGTCTCTTCCAAAGTTTTCCTAGGTCTTCCTCTACCCCTTCGGCCCTGAACCTCTGTCCCGTAGTCTACTCCTACTTTACCTCGGATATCCTCATTCCCAATCTTATCCTTTCTCGTGTGCCCACACATCCCACGAAGCATCCTCATCTCCGCCACACTCATTTTGTGTACGTGTTGATGCTTCACCGCCCAACATTCTGTGCCATACAACATCGCTGGCCTTATTGCCGTCCTATAAAATTTTCCCTTGAGCTTCAGTGGCCTACGACGGTCACACAACACGCCGGATGCACTCTTACACTTCATCCATCCATCTTGTATTCTATGGTTGAAATCTCCATCTAATTCTCCGTTCTCTTGCACGATAGATCCTAGGTAGCGAAAATGGTCGCTTTTTTGTGATCTTCGCTAGATTGCTCCGGTCATTAGTGTGGATAAGTATATAAATGGATAGAGACAGGAAAGCAAACACAAGATGTACGTGGTTCACCCAGATTGGCTACGTCCACGAAATAGAGGAGTTCTCATTAATTGTGAAGGGTTTACACAAGTACATAGGTTCAAGCTCTCTTTTAGTGAGTACAAGTGAATGATTTAGTAAAAATGACATTAGGAAATATTGTGGGAGAATGATCTCGTAATCACGAAACTTCTAAGTATCGGAGTGCGGTATCGTCTTGACTTGCCTTATCTGTCTCATAGGTAGATGTTGCATCTTCTCTGGAAGTACTCTTCCTCCATCCAGGGGTGGTATCTTTAAACTGGTGGAGATGCACAAGGTAATGTATCAATTTCACTTGAAGCTTACTGTAGTTTCAGGCTTGGTCAAGCGCGATACAAACCATGTAGTAGGAGTCCCAAGTCGCCGAGCTAGAGGATCGCTGAAAGAGGTGACAGATAAGGTAAGCAATCAGAGCTCCGGCTGATTGTTCACATTCTCCCTATCTTGCAGGCAGCATGAGGATAAAGAGAGAAAATGAGAAAGATGATATGGGATACTTTTTGCTTTTGAAGATAACTTTCCACAGGCTTATTCTTGAACTGAGCTGGAGGGTTTTCTGGTTTCCTCCAAAGTATAAAAAGGCCGACTGAAGAATTTGAGCGTCAAAACAAGTCCATCAAACTAGAGTACGTTCAACCCTGCTGATATGGGATACTTTGCTTTGACAGAGTAATGGATGTATCGGCACGTGTGCTGTTTCGCTTGTCTCCACATGCTTCCTTGCATCGTTCTCCTTACCCTATCTGTTCCAGGCAGAGCGGTATCTTCCCTGGAAGCATAAGATGTTGAAGATGATACTCGAGAGCAATGGTAGGTAAGTAATCAGGTAAGGGGTTCCAGGCAGTCAGTTCCTGGCTGGAAGCTTGATTCCAAGTGCTGACTGATTGCTTCTTTTCTCCTTGTCTTGCAGATAAGAAACAAGGCCAAAGGAAAAGACAGGGAAAAAGCATGATATGGGATACTCTTGCTTTTAACCCTGATGATATGAGATATCTTGCTCTAGTATAACTTGTTTTGCAGAGATATTATCGGGGGGAAAGAAAGCTGAATATTTCGAAAGGCTTCGTTGGGAGTGCCCTCTCAGATATGAGGAAGGGTTGAGCATTTTTGCAGGTCTGCCTGTCCGTTGGGGATGGAGGTCGACATATATAGGAGTCTCCTTAACAACAAGTAGTAATGCTATTCCTTTACCCTACTTAGACGCACAACAAATCTGTGTATTATACACATACCTGAGATATAATGCTAGATATCTTTTTATGGTTCTCATATTATATAAAAAAAATTTGAGCATGAATTTGAAACTTTTTATAATTTCTAGAAAGAGAGACAATGCAATTGTGTTTTATTGTTAGAGAAAAAGATGTGTCAACTTGGGTTTGACTGATTAATGGGATTTCACTCGATTAGACCAAATTGATTTGATGTTTTTCTATTTGAAGTTGAGGAGTTAGATTGGTGGGAAGCAATGCAGAGGCACGTCATCTTCTAACTGGGTCGTGGTCTTCTTTCTTCTCTTATGAGTTTTTCTAGTTGAAGGAGTCATCTGCTTCTTCTGGGATTTTTGGGTCCATATTTGCGCCTTCTTCCGGCGTCGTTTATTGGTAAGTTGTAAAACCTGTGTAGACCACCTCATGTTCATTTCAGATTTTTGTATCAATCTTGTTTTATAATGGAATTGCAAATCAAGTATATTTTAGATTCTTACTTACATACTCACTTTTCCACAACTATTATATTGTCTCTTGACTGGATGAATTTTCATAATTTCCTGGATTTACAGTTACAATGCTTTTTATAATTTCCTAAATCTATCCTTTTTGTCTGTGCATGATTATGTTGATTTTTTTTTTAAGGTTAAATGTGTCTTATTCATGTAGTTAAGGTTGGTGCATTCAAGTTCCGCAGCAACGCGCGGACATTTTTTCTAGTATTAGCTGTGCAGATTGGATGAAACTCTGTAAGTTGACTATATATTAGTATGCATTCAAATTCTGGATGTCAAAATATAATTGTCTCCAGTAATAGTAAATTTCGTTATCGTTATGGTGTATAGATCAAGTGGATTAATTATAGCTACGTGGGGTGCTTCAGGGTGTAAGGCATGTGGATAACTTTTCAGTGGTCGAATGGTGTTCTTCAAAATGTTTTGATTAATTTTCTTGAAGTTCAGTTGCTAGCTAGTTTTTTTTTTATTTTTTTTATTTTTTTTATTTTTAAAGGGATGATAGTGTTCTCATTCCCTTAATCTTATTAAAATAAAAACAAAAATACAAACAAGGGTGTGGATGTAAATTTCTGTCTTCTTCTTGGACGAAAATACACCTGCAAAACAATTAACACCTTAGGTTAAGGCCAAGAGCGTCACTTGACCATGATGAATGGGGGGGCATTTGGCCGAAGAATTTCCGATGCTAAAGTTAGAATTTGAGGGAGAAAGTATTTGGAGAAATTTAGAGAATTTCAGAAGAGGTGTGGTCGGCCCTATTAGGAAATTTGGGACCGGACACATGGTTGATTTGTGGGATTGATAACAAGATATTATGTGAAATAATATCTTGCAATTAATTTGGTAATTAATCAATTAATCTCAATTTGAAAAGAATAATTGGGAGTTACTTTGTGGGTGAGGATTTAATGAGAAGTGATGAGAGTGTATTAAAAGAATACCATTTTGATCACATTTGAGCTCGATTGAGTTGTTATTGTCTGTTACATATGTGGGAATCCTAGTGTGCCTTAAGGGTAAATTTGTTTTTTTAACTCGAAAGTCCATGAGTCACTTCCATATTTTTCTTGATTATTTTTTGTTCCACAAAGGGCAATACAAAGGCAAACCTTCTTGAGGAAAAAAAAACGTAAAACAAAAAATCAACCCCACAAACAAAGAAAACATATAATGAAAATCATTTGAAACGATGGTTGGTAGAAGCAGAAAGATCATGAATATAAGCAGAAATTTCACAAGAAAGAACGTTCACCATCAGTAATATGCATCGTGATTTACATGGAAGTTAGCTAAGGCATCAGGCACACATGCAGTTGCTAGCTAGTACAGTAGTAGCTATATTACTCGACTTTTATTTTATGTTTTTATTAATTATTAGGTGTACCAACAGTTATATGAATTTGGAACATTTGTCAACATTAAGACAGAGTATTTGGAGCTAATGAAGAATTTGGTGCAAAACCGAGTGCAGTGGTGTTCTAGGATTTATACAGTTAATAAGACTTTGTTGTTGTTTGTTGTAAGAAAAAGAGTATTATTAAATCAAGTGCTTGTTTAATAGCAAAAATAATAGAGACTACTGAAAAAGCAAAAAGAGTATATGCACTTGCCACTGTCATATTCTTGTCGAGTTCATGTGCGATATTAATTTGTAAGTACAACGTTGGTTGTAAAGATCTGACTTTTCTTATAAATAATAAATAAAAAGAAAAACTAATGAAAAAAAGCTTGAAAATTATGAGTTTTAACGATAAAGACCAAATAAAGAGTAAAGTGAATAGTATCAGGATTGACTTTTTAATGTAAAAATGTGGTTTTTCGTTAAAGTAAACAGTACCGGGAGTTTTTCACTAAAAAAGAAAAGAAGAAGAAAGGTACGATCTCATGTAATTGGTACAGGGTGGGCATGCATGGACTTGTAATACAAGTCAAGAAAAATATTAAAGGGGATCCTATCTCCTATAAGTAGCATGGTAACCGATAACAGTTCAAAATAGGTTTTCCATCATTTCACACATACTCTCTCCAAAATCCGCCGGTAAGCCTTTTCATAATATATATATAACTTCTTAATACTCTTAGCTCTTGTGCAGTTTATACCTTTTTTCTTTATCCAATGAACTAATTAAGAAGGCGAGAAGGTTCTAAATTAGCTGACATTAATTAAATTATAAATGATCATATTGTTAACATCTTTGCAATTATGGTGCAAAAATGAAGATCGTTGTGAAGGTGCCATTCACTGTGACAAATGAGAAGCAAGGCCTTCGAAGAGCAGTTAAGCACGCGGTAGGCCTTTGATATTACATGATTCAAATTTTCTTTCACGATTTCAAAAAAAGTTGGCATGGTTATTAAAGAGTAATCATAATAATGAAAGCAGGTGTTAGTAATGTCCGATAGAAGGAAAACAAAAGGGATGATTGATGAAGTCTTGAGGAAAAGGTTCGGCTGTTGCTGCGCCCTAGTCAAAGTTGAAGAAGTGAAGCCGCTGCCTGTGGTGAAGCCGCCTGAGCCGCCAGTGAAGCCGCCTGTGGTCAAGCCTCCAGCTCCTCCAGCAAGCTGTGTTCAAAACTGTTGCACTTGCACTCCCCATTGTCGTTCAATGTACTGTGTTCAA